TATCAAATAGCTTTAATTTTTCTAGGTGAAAACGGTGGTGCTGCTAATACAGATTTAAGGTTTTTATTTTAAGAAAAGTCAGTGGTGTGGGGCTGACTATATTGAAAACTTTACCACCCTGTATCTCAAAATTCAAGACGTTTAGGGCATATGTTTATATGATGTTTTCTTCTTAAAATGGTTCCAAAAATCAACCCCTTAAATATTGACGTTCAATTATCAAACACTCTGTATAGTGAAAAGAAGGTTGGAGCGATGAATAAATCAAAACAGTGGAATGGTGATCTGCTCTCGTATTTTTTTGACATGTACGATTAAAAAAAACAAGTGTAATGTTTCTAGACCAGAAAGTACATCCTAAAACAGAATACTTCATTACCAAGAAAGTTGGTTTTATATAATTCTACGTCACTGTCGAGACTCATATCCTTCAAATAATGCTGTGCTGAGATAGGATCACTCCCCTAATATACTACAATACATTGTTCAATGTAAGTCTTCACTAATTTTTGCGTTTTTTCAAAGTAGAAACAAACATTCAAATCAAATATTTTGCAAAAATTCATTTCTCAACATGACGAGTCGTGTAAAATAAATATCCAAAAATGCAAAAGAGATTCCAAAAAGTCAGTGGTGTATAAATTATTTTTCACTGAGCATGTGTCTGGGTTCTACTTCACTGGTGCTAAAATGTTTATATGTAGCGATCATGGTGTTAACACTACACGCACGACATTTTGAGGCGTCACTTTATCCACTCCGGATATCCTCTGCAGTGATTATGCACGAGAAAAGTACAAAGTATTGTGAATGACTTTTAATAAAACTCGGATAGTAGGGTTTTTGTTCCCTGTTCCCTTGTCGCCCAGCCTCGAAGTGTATGCACAAACAGTATTTATATATTCTAGCTATGTAAGTCCAACCCAAAGCTGATGAAGAAATAAACAAAATAACGAATTCTGGAGATTTTGTGATACAGCTTTTTATCACGGGTGCTCACGGAGAGGGAGTGACTGTTTGTGCTGGGGTGAAAATAACATTTTCCCTATACAGGGTATTTTAAATTCGACCCTCACCATTGGGATCTCGGAAACTTCAAGGGATACAAAGTCACTTAAAAAGCTGCAAAGTTGCGTATTCAGATATTCAGCAAAATATCGCTTAGAAAGTTTTGAAATTGAAAGTATTTCCGGAAAGAGACGTAAAAAACGAAATTTCCCAAAATCGCTTTAATTTTTTCCTGACTTTATTTGTGGTGGTATTTCAAAATAAATTGCACATAAACTCTGCCACATTTTCGTCCCTTGTCCTCCAACATCAACTTAATTTTTTCTTAGATTCTTACACACATAAATAGAATTTTTATTCTGATCTAAAAAATGTATGTTATACATTGACATTGCAAAACCTTAGTTATTCCAGAAGTTCCTAGGTAGGCCTTGAAATTGTTAGAGACTACGAAAATACATAGAAGTAAGACTTAAATCGCGTAATTACGCATTTTGCAATTGTAACAAAAATTTTCAAAATATTAGTGATTAAAAAAATCGTATTAATTATGGTCCTTGAAAGTTATGTCCCCTATTGTTCGGATTTTTCATACTATATTCATAATCTTCATTTTGCCATTACCGGGTCAATAAACAAAATATTGAGCACAAAGCACTTTGGCGCTGGCTGATATTTAAAATGGAATTTCATTAAAATTTCTTCTGCCACTTGCTCACCCGAAAATGTTACAAAAACTTGTTTCTGTTGCATTGTGGCACTGTTTTCTTTACAAAATTAAGGTTTTTGGCTTTCATTTTTGTTACACCGAAGCAGCCGCGCAGGTGAACCCTACATGCCAAGGCTGACTTCAGGAGCTTGAAGAAACTTTGTTATTCCCACTTTGAACTGCCTAAAGTTAGTGGAATTGGGCAAATCTCCTCATGTAGATTGTTACACGATTTCAACACCCTCTGAACAAAGGAGCGGTCTTATCGGCCAGTTCGTGATGTACGAAGTTCGACACGCTTACGATGGGAGGCCGAAGTCAGGTAGGCACATCGTGGAGCGACACCATGGAAGAGACCTCTGAGGAGCAAAGCCCGCTGGCGAAGCTAGATCGCCAACGGCCCGTTGGTACGAAGGTGTCCGTCCATTAGCGGAAAGTTCATTAAATGCCTCTTGCGAAGCAATTTTAGCCCTCAAGATAGTCCCGACACACTCTGATACCTGTCACTGTCACTGGTTGAGTGGTGTCCTCTGATATGTCAGAAGGTTCTGTACGAACAGCGGATTAGCTGTCGGCAAACAGTCAGAAACTGTACGAACAGGTAACATCCCTCTGATTCTGATTTTGACAGTCACCGACAAGTTACCGACTACTGTACGAGCAAACCATTTGTATAGACGGATAAATTATATAATTTTTAGTCATACTCAGTCGCCAGTACAGATTTCTTAGATAATTAACATTACAGAGTACATCGGTGGCAGAAGTTTGATATTTGTTTATAGATTTTTGTGTTCATAACATAGGACTTAAAAATATAAATTGATGGAAGCGGTAATATTTCTAGATTTTTGAAGCGCACGTTGATCCATAACTGGTACTTGTGCCGCGGCAAGTTGCAGAATGTTTCAATTTCAACGTGTGGCAATATACCAGGGTGGCCGATATGTAACTGACTGGTTTTTACCTTGAATATTTGTGAAATAAAATTCGTCCATTTTTTCATATTAATCTTTTGTTGGAACTAAGAAATTAGAAAGCAACATCAGACAAATGTCCGCCTCTAGAAGCGCAAACCTGAGCGCTCTTGATTACAATTCCATCACTTTTTGGTAGGTTTCGGGAGAAATATTTTCAATGGCTTCCATAATATTGTTCTTCAGCTGCTCTGCAGTATTTGGTTTGTTGGCATACATCCTATTTTTCAAAGATACTCATAACAAAAGTCAGGAGCCGTTAAATCCGGTGACCTTGGTGGCCAGTTGACATCACCAAATCGAGAAATTAAAGGTCCCGGAAATATTGTTCGTAAACGATTCATTGTTTCCCTAGCTGTGTGACAAGTTGCTTCGTCCTGCTGGAACCACATGTTTTGCAGATTAAATTATTGGATTTGAGGAGCCAGAAAGTTTTGCACCGTATCACGATAGCGCTCGCCAGTGACAGTAAAAGAATAACCTGCAGCGTCTTCAAAGAAGTAAGGTCCAATGACACCTCCATACCAAACACCGCACCAAACTGTGACTCGACGAGGCTGTAGTGGTCGTTGATGATGACACGAGTGTTCTCTAATGCCCAGATACGACAATTCTGCTTATTAACAAATTCGTTCATATCGAAGTGGGCTTCATCGCTCAGTAACAGTTGACGGTAAAAATCGTTATTTTGGGTATTGAGCTGCAATATTGCATGGCTGTATTAGTCGGCGACTTTCATGGTCACTAGGCTGTAGTTCTTGGGTTAATTGAATTTTGTATGGCCGTAAATGCACGTCTTTTTTTTGAATAGTGCATAATGACGTGCGACCAATACCCCGTTCTTGAGAACGATGTCTGGTAGACGTCTCAGGGCGCTCCACTACACTTTCACTAACTCTCTCGATATTTTACGGAGTACGAACATTTCGAACTGTTTGTTCGAATTTTCGCACCAACTAACGAATGGCGTTGACACTGGGCACATTATTTCGACAGAAATCTTGTCGTAGCTTCGGAATCGTTGCACGTGTATCAAAAATGACGTGCAATTTAAATCAGTCATATCATATCAGTTATATATTGGCCACCCTGTATTTCCGCAATTTTCAGGTCTACTGTAATTTTTGAAACATATACCTTGGCTGTCTGTCCGATCCATACTCTTCTGTAGCCAGTAACCAAAAACACTGAGGAAAATTGAACAGCTCTGCCGATACCGTTTTGACTACCAGGACACTCACTCTACCTTCTCGAAGTACAATCTGTGGGGGTATGCTTTTTAATTGTTTTTATGTAAAGTTATTATTTTACACCTTCTATTTGACGTATAGTAGAAAACTCTACTGAACGGACTATTGAGATTTAAAATTATTTATCAAAAATACATATTAATTTTGTACGCTTTTAATACTCAATTATTTTTAATTTTCTTAAACCAAATTTTTCCGTTTGCCTATTGATGAGCAATTTCAGAGTATGTGTAAAATCGCTTTAGTTTTATCCATATGGAGTCATAAAGAAGAATAGAACTCCAAATACGAGTATATTCTAGTATTTGTATAGCAAGAATGCTTCAATCAAAAACTGTGGTTTTTGTTGCTTTTCTCGTCTCCTGATTATCCCATTATTTGGCGAATTCTTCTAGGTGCAAACTCTCAGATTACTTGTTTGTGTTTGTAAAGAAGATGATATAATTCATTTGGAAGACCCTTGATCGCACTAACAAAGAGACCTGGGGCGGGTGTAGTTAACTCCAAAGTATGATTATGTAAAATACATAATACAGTTCAATGCAATCTACTACCTAATAGAAAAAGGCAAAACTAAAAAACAATTGAAAATCAAAAAGCGCAGATATTTAGTAAGTAAAGTTCTTAATATAAATACATTATTTTATACGCATTCCACTAAAAATCTCAAAAATCCATTCAGTGGTCCTGGGTTCCAAGGTTTTTGTATTTTTACATCTGACGGCATTCTGTTATTTATAACACAGATAATATCTAATGGTCGCCCTTGAAGAAAACGCGCATCCGTTTAGCGACAAAAGGGATTATACTTTCATGTATCCATAATTTTGTACTTACCTACAAACGAATGATCAACCTTGTTAAAAAGTGCTTAATAGGTGGCTGAAAGGACATAGCAATATCGTGTCTTTGTGTTTAAGACAGTAGCTGACAATTACTCACGGTTTACGGCATCTTCTTATTATTACCACGCAGTAATTTTAAAACAATTTAATTGAAATGTTTTGTCATGTTTCAGTCACTGTGTTGTCTTTATAAGCAACTTAAACGTTTTCTTTATGACATTGCATCAACGTGAATGTTCCGTGGAAGGTGAAGGATTCTGAAATAATAGTTACCTGCACAGTCCTCCGCTTTCACGATGAGAGTGTATCGAGATTTGCGTTCATAATTCAGATTCTTTGCCACACGAATGACTCCCGTATCTTCAATTATGCTGAAATCTCTATTAATGTCTCCAGATATGATCGAATATCGAACCCTCCCATTGAACCCATCATCGATGTCGGTGGCAGAAACCTAAAAATAAATGATATTATTGAACATCGTATAGTCCGAGCAATATCTTCGCATGTGATAGGAAACATATTCTGATTCGGATATTTTGCATAATATTATTCGAAAAGGACTCCTTTTAACGCATTTGCATGTTGCCAGGCCCAAATTTGTATAAACATTTTTTAAATATTTTTAAACAGGTGTCGAGAAGCTCTTAGAAGGAATCATATATGAACAAGTCATTGAATATATTGAAGAAAACAAGATACTGACAAAATTTCAAGCAGGATTCAGAAAAAAGTATTCTACTGCACCATTTTGTGCAGCATCAGGTGGTTCACGATGTAATTTTAACTTTCGTTTTAAATATTTTTAATCCGTTTTAATTTGTTCCCTACATACAGCTGTGTGTAGTTTATATTAATTTTGTACCAAATGTACCATGTATCCTGCACTCAACAGGTTACTGGTTGTTTCCCTCAACCTAAACGTTAATAACATTTAGCAACAACCTCACATACGGCTCTCCTGATGAAGATGGAAAAGTCCATTGAAAGCTAGAGATTAATAAAGTATAAAGAGTCCTCTTTGCTTGAATTTTGTCGAAGTACCCAACCAAAGGCGGAAGCTTTATTTTTCACATATATATATATATACACACATTTTGAAAATCACATCATCTGAAGTGATTTGGCAACGTAGCACACGCCCACAAAAGAATTCGTTCCATCACTCTACACAGACACTGATAACCTTCGGCCATCTGTCAAAAGGTTCATCTTACTCATTATTCCATGCCCACCATTTTGTGTAATCATCAAGTGGCTTCACGATGTAATTGTAATGCTTTCATGTTCTAAAAATTTTTAATCTGTTTTTAACTTGTTCTTGTCATACAGCTGTGCTGTGCTGTTACTGGACGTTTCCCTCATCCTGAACGTAAAGAACAATTAGCAACATCCTCACATTCTACTGTAAGTTAAATTAATTTAAATTCATTTTATACTATTGTTGCTACTGTTATCAATGTAATTGCAGCTCCTGATGATGAAAGTCCATTGAAAGCTAGAGAGAATAAAAAAACTATAAAGAGTCCTCCTTGTTTAACATTTTTGTCGAAGTACCCAACAAAAGGCGGAAGCTTCAATTTTTCACCTAACTGGTCTAGACGACAATGACGTCTCAAGTTATATATATATATATATATATATATATATCAAGTAAAGACACTGAAACTGCAATTGAGCTGTTGAATAGTTAAATGTGAATAAACTCTAATTAAACACAAACAAAACAAAATATATTCTAATAGGAAAATCTTTAGATCAAAATACGATAAATCTTACGAGTAATCATGAAAACATTGTGTAAATCGAATCATTTTAAATATTTGAGCATATACGTAAATAGTAAATTGAAATTTCAAAAATTAAAACACTAAAATTTTTGTTTTTTATATTGTATTTCGGGGTCTTAAATAGAATATTTCGCATTTTTTTAGAGAAAAGTACCTTTTTTTGTTCAGAATCTCCAAAAATATCCAGAAACACTTTGACCGGAGCGAAAAGAAAAATAGTTTTTGAAATTTTTATCTCACATTTGCGCCTGGCTACATGCAGATTCAATAAAAGGGGCCTTTTTTTGGATAAGATTGTGCAAACAGTCTGAATCAGAATATTTTTCCCATCAGATGCGATCCCGGACTAGTATGAAAGGTAAATCTGTCAGATTGTGATACAGCTAAAAAGTTAAACAGATCCCGAGCAGATTGTGGCACAGATTATTTGAGTATTCGTTACGGAAGAATTGGTACTGAAATGTAACAACTTTTAAGTCATAGCTCAAAGTTCGGTATTAGTAGTTGAGAATATACAGGACGCTTACATATGTATGTATTTCTATGCTCTAGGATTTTTGTTCCGAAGATACAGAGGAACAAAATGAACTTAATTTTTAGAAACAGTTTTTGAAAAATAAGTAGTGTCATATGTGATCAGTGCGTATTAAAACATTTATGATAAAATCTTCAAAAGGCAAATTAGTCTTAACATAATTCAAAGGAAGATTACCTGATGTTATGCCATATGTTAAGAAAACATCCTGTATATCGGCGATGCTTAATACCTAAAGACACTGTTGAAGGTTCAATAATAAATGAGTCCATTAAACCAATCTGGCAAATCTATCATAGTTTAAGGCCAAACTACAGGGTCCGTCAGAAAGAACGCATGTTTTTTAATTGAGTAGTACAGTCAAAATAAGTATGGGAAAAATATTTTATTACATAAAAATACTAAGAAATAGATGCCATTTTTTAAATAAAACAAAATTTACGTTCTAAAAACTAAGTCGGCCATATGGCGCCCTTGAGCCGAAATGCAGGAGTCAAGCTTCTCCCGAAATGAGCACAATGCGTCGGCCAACATCCGTGCAGGAATTTGGGTTACTTATCTACTTATTTCCTCCTCCAAATCGACGAGAGTCCGCGGCTTGCTTTGCTAGACTTTTGATTTCAGGTAGCCCCATAAAAAAAATCACACGTTGTCAGGTCTGGGGAGCGAGGGGGCCATGGAATATCGCCATGACGTGAAATGAGATATCCTGGGAATTTTTGCTGAAGAAGTTCCATCGAAGTGCGAGCTGTGTGAGACGGACACGTCGACGTCGCAGTTCCGGAAAAAAACAGTAGTTGTTTCTCCATCATCCTCAAAAAATAAGTGCCAATAATCACCGTTGGGCCGACTGCACACCAAACTGTAACTTTCGGGGTATGCAGGGGGTGTTCATGCAACTGTTGTGGATTCACTGGAGGCCAATATCGACAATTTTGTTTATTGACGTATCCATGTAAATGAAAATGTGCTTCATCACTCATAAACAACGTCATGACATTGTTATCCAGCTGTTCAATCATGAGCTGTGCAAAATTAACACGTTGCCCCCTGGCAACAGTTGTTGACAAACTTGGATTTTGTAAGGATGGAACACTAAATCCTTCTTCAAGAAGCGATGTACAGAGGACGCGTGGATCCCTAGGGAACTCGCATGCAAACGGAAGGAACGATTCGGGCTTTGCAGCGTGTCAACTCTCACTCTGCCTACGTTTTCGGGGGTTCTCTCAGTACGGTTTCGCATTACATTACCTGTTGTGTTGAATGCTTCCACCTATCTCAAAATGGTGTTACGGTCTGGTACTGTCCCACGACGTGGAACACGAAAGTGAACGCGAAACGTTGCGTTCGACCGATAGACTCGCCATTTTGAAAGTACCGACGTACAGTGAACACACGATGCTCAACATTCCAAACCATCGTCCCAACTGAAACGGCACTTCTCCCACTATCCAACACGCCCTTTCGACAAACATGCGTTCTTTCTGACGGACCCTGTATTATCAAAGTGATTAATTACACAATAACAGGCATTCAAACATAATAGATTTTACTGAGGACCTAATCCTACCTGCAATACGCTAGCGCCAATTGAGGCATTTTCGGATATTGAGGCACTGTACTGCTTAGGATCAAACACTGGGCTGTTGTCGTTTTCATCCAAGACCCTTACAAAGATCTTCGCTTGTGTCGATTTGGGTGGATCGCCTCTGTCTTTAGCTGTAATAAAGAAAATAATTATTGATACCAAAAAGCAGGAGCATACACAGAATTTGGCAAGGTATTCTTCGCGAACTGTTATTTTGATAGTATCGGTAGTTGGATGAACCAATGCTTTGTTCCTAATTTTTGTTCAGCAATCGATAACTCACTTTATCCTATCTTAGAACTCTTCAGTTTGAGTGAGAATAGCTATTTCTTCAGAGTATATTTAGTCACTATCTGAATCACTGAAATGTCAACTAGTTTTAAAACATTCTGCCTCAATTGACCAAACTAACAATAATTACATATGCAAAACGATATATGATTTGTTTTTATTGTAGTCGTTTAGAAAACGCATTACATCGTCTTCCCACACACAGCATTCATCTCTATAAACAATAGAATAATCGATTTCCAAGAAACACTTTCAATCAACCTTCTCTATATCTTTATACTCTTATAAAAAAAGCAGTTTCCATATTTGGCGTCGATTAATGTGTTTTTAATCGATAATAATAGTAATTTAATTAAATATATCAATATATTTATGCATGCTTATGACATGCAGATATGCTTTCCTACTAATAGTAAAAAGTATTTATATCAAATAAATATTGGCTAATCAATAATAGGATCGAACAGGGTCAGTTATTTATAACACTAATAAACACAGGATTTGTGACAATTTTTGGGTGTATCTTATGTATTTTGAGACCATTAAATCAAATCTAAACAGAATTTTTCTATCACCCACAGATATTCGGTAACATCTACTTTTATGAATTACAATACGTAACATCTCATATTGCTGCATTTCTCGGCGTTTATGCGATGACGCACATTTATAATGTTGAGACCTGTCTATTCCTGTTTATGTGAGCTCTATGCTTAGAGAGCATATTGCGTTTCTTAGTAGACTAATAGCAGCCCGAGTCAGTTATGTTTTCTGTGTTGCAGAGTACTGAGATGTTCTGAGTACTATTAATTTTTGTTAAAACGGTGTGTTGTTTTTAGTTTATTGTGATCGAGACTAGGCTTATGGACGATGCCTAGAAATTGTGTAAATAGTGCGAACAGTTTTTGTTATGTGTGCGGAGAGCTAACTTTTAAATCCCAAAAACGTACTTTTACTCCACCTGTGTTGAAAGCATATGAATTTTATTTTGGAATTAAAGTTGGCGACCAAGATAAACTATGGGCCCCTCATATATGTCGTAAGACTTGTGTAACGTTCTTACCAGGTCGGTTAAGAGGCGACAATCGTAAAATGTCCTTTGCGGTACCCATGGTTTGGAGAGAACCGAGAGACTATACTATGTTATAGATCTCATCACGTAGAACAAATCGATCCAAAATTTCTCCATGAGTACTCGTAGTTCCCGAGATATAGGGCTTCCAAGCTGGACGTCTAACTCTAGTACAGTGTATTGTGGGGTTAGTATACGATATGAAATAAATTGATATTTATTTACGTTGATCATCCCCACAAGCTAGGTCACTAAAATTACCATTCTGTCACATGTACAGGATGGCCCAAAATTGTATGGCTAGAGTATTGCTCCGAGACACAAACTTTTCAAATATGCTCAGGGTTTTCCTGTACCGTCCATGTGGGAATAGATTCAAAAAATGTTTAGAATTATAGAAGGTGTTTTATTTCTGAGTTGCATTCAAGGTTATTATTTATAGATATTTTTAATTACATATTTGGGTAAGCCTAAATATGTCTGCGCTTTGTCGACTTTTTCGAGGAAACAAGTTAGAAATAGTGAAATTCAAAAATATAGTGACGTGTCAAGGAACCATTAATTATGTGTTTTTGAGAACTAATTAGAATGTAAATAAACAATAAACAGCTATTACATATCGTATTGTAACCCACAATACGCTGCACACATTGGAGGCCTTGTATCTTGGAAACTACTCGTCGAAAAACTTTGGCATCACGGCCACTTTTATTCTGTATGCCGAGATCTACAAGATACCATATTTTTCTAAGAAATAGCGGGATCTTTTGCGAAAGCCGTTGCATCAACCAAACGGAATTTCCAGAGGCGATTTTTTCTGCGGCAGCTTAATTGTACGTTAGATTGAGTCCTGAACCTACTATTGCTTTACATCGAATGAGAAGAAGTAACCTTTTAAGCCAAGCATATCGAAGGTTTTATTATCTAATACAACACACACTTCAATTTTATCTTAATATACAATATGAGTTGGGTGTAAGCGGAATAATGGGAGAATATGGATATATGTAGCCCGATGCGGTGGCGTACTGGTTAGGCTGTCGGTCTACCAACTAGTCGCCGTAGGTTCAAATCCCAAAAAGAATTTTTATCTTGGATATAGATTTTGTGATTGTCCATGGGTGGTATACGGTCTCAGAACGTCGAGCGTGGAGGTACCACCCGGCGGATCTCTAAGGTGGGTGCGGAATGTGTGGATGTCACATGCTCATGATTATCCCGCTAGAGTCCGTGTGATCCCCATTTCCATTGTGTACGTCCATAGCCCCACAGTACCCATGAGTGTTTAGGCTTCAGGCCTGCGTTGCAGGTCAAGTATAAAAAAAAGAATACTAATATGTTAATGACTACAACACGGCATCGAATTTTCTGCACCATGGGGATCTTGGAAACTGTAAGAGATACCCAGACGCTGAGATGGGGGCAACACTGCATATAGCCAACAGAATGCCGCGTAGAAAGTTTCGAAATTCAAAAGTACTTTCGAAGAGAGATGGAAAAATTGCGTAATTTTCTCAAAATCGTTTTAATTTATCTCTGACTTTAATTTCAGCGGGATGACAAAATAAATTGCATATTAACATTGCCACTCATTCTGCTCTACAAGCTGGTATAATTAGAATCTCAATATGACGTTTCGTCATAGGTTCTCCAGCATCAACTTTATTTTTTCTTATAGACGCCATATTGAATTTTTGCACAGATGAATAGAGTTTTTAATTCTGATTCCAAAAATGTATGTTATCTTACATTGCCGAAACTAAGCTCTTAAAAAAGAAAAACAGAATTTCCTAGGTAAGCTACATTTATCGCAAAATCATTTTTATTTTTTCCTGACTTTGTTTGAGATGGGATTTCAAAATTAATTGCATATTGCAATTGTCACTTTTTCTGCTCTACAAAAGACGGCAAAGTAAAATATTTAATTCAAGATTTCTTGATGATTTTAATGCCTACCTAGGAAATTCCGTTTTCTGGAATAAATAAGGCTTGACAATCGCAATGTATAATGTATAACATATTATACATTTTTGGAATCAGAATCAAAAGCTCTATTTATCTGTGAATAGATTCAATATGGTATCCATAAAAAAATAAAGTTGGTGCTGGAGGACCAGAGACAAAACGCCATATTGAAATTCTATTTATGCATTGTGGCAATGATAACGTGTAATTAATTTTTAACTCCTACCAGAAATAAATTCAGGAAAAAATTTAAACGTTAGTACTTTGAATTTCAAAGCTTTCTAAGCGGCATTTTGTTGGCTATAAGTACGCAACTTTACCCCCATTTAAGCGACTTTCTCACCGTTTCCGAGATTCCAGTGGCGAGCGTCGAAAGGGTCAGTGGTTCACTGCCCCTGAAACTATCCCGATCAGATTGACTTTTTCGCTGTTTTCCCTCGTTTACGATTCACCTCGTACGACTTCACTTTTTCAGTCTGATCCTAATTTTAGTGGCTAAGCATATCTTATTACCTATTACTTACCATGTACTATTAGCGTATAGTTACTAGTCGTCTCCCTATCAATCCTTCCAGCAACTTTGAGAAGACCATCAACAGGACCCAGTGAAAAAATTCCATTGATAACCGGATCATCCGACAGGGAGTACTCGATGTAACCGTTTCTTCCTTCATCTTTGTCGACAGCTTTTATGGCCATCACCACAGTGTTGATAGGGATATTTTCAGCCACAGTCGTTTCGTTGGGCGTGATGAATTCGGGGGACATGTCGTTCACGTCCTTCAGAACTATTGTCACCTGTAAACAATTAAAGGTTGATATCACTACTGTAATCCCCTATGCTTGGTCTGGCCCATAAAACATGTATTGACATAATCTTTTTTACTATAAACGTTTCAATCAAAAATGTGATCTACAGTACAATGATAATGATAAATCAAATGTACACGTATTGTCATTATTACTACTGTAGCTAAAGTAGATGGGACGAACCCGCGCAATTGAGAGAAAAATATTCTGGTACATTCTAGGGGAGCACGCGTAGTCCACATGGCGTAAGTAACAACTAACAATGCTTTAGAGAAAACTAAGCCTAAAATGCCCTTCGGGGTCACCGAAGGAAGGTTTGAGCTTCAACTTAGGCAACCTAAAAGATAGTATCTTTTAATAGGGTTTTTAAGTAATACTAATAGCCAATTTTAGGGTTTTCAGAGTTCAAAAATAACGGCTTGCCCGAAAAAAACCTCTGGGTGAAAGACCAATTCTTTGCAGATCTCAAAGTTTCTTTGACCAAATACAATTGTATATGTTGAAATTGCCCTTTCTGCCGCTACGGCCACCACGGTGGTCTTTTTCAAAGTACAGATCAAACAAGAACAATTTATTCTAATTTATCAGTTTTCCAGACGACAGTTCGTTTTTTTCAAACTATAAGGTGTGTTGCAAAAACAGCAAGGACAATCCTGTACCACGCCAAGATCACGCGAAGCCATCATTACAATTTTATGCCTGAGGTAGGCTCCCAAAAGACGTCCAGCTCCCCCATAGAGACAAGCGAGTATGAGGTTATTGTTGTTTTGGATGTACCAGACGCGTTAACCAGCCCGACAGTGCAAAACGAGAATGCAAAGATCCACCCAGAACTGTTGTCGTAACTCATTGGTTGACTGTTATTGCCCATGGATTTTTCCGCAAATCGTACTACGACACCTCAAGTGCACCATATTGCTTGTCATAATATGAGAAAAGAGCTTAAGACACAACAGACTAGGATCCAATAACAAACCATAAAAACCCTGGAAGTAAAAAATGTACAGCTTACCAAACGGTTTGGAAAAAATAATCATATATTTCCTTAGTGGTGACCGAAACGTTAGTAAAGAGTAATTTCGTATATGGCTTAATTTGGTCAGAAAAACATGAAATTATATCAACATGAAAGCCTTAGGATAAATTTCAGATGTGCATTTGTAATAGGTATTTATAGAATTCATGTCAAGGGGCACCCATCAAATGCGGTTATGGACGAAAAGTCGAGGCTAAATTTGTTTGTTTGTTCCAGATTTATTTAGCATTAATGCTACCATGTCCATAATATCCATATTACACAGTATATTACAAAATATATTATGTCGTCAAGAAGAAGATATTTTTATACAAAATTTCACTACTATGAATTCTGGTTTTCCATGAGACATTTTTTCAATTTCCCTTTGAACATTTTCAAACTGACACTCATCCTGATATCATTACATAATTTATTAAATTCGTACAATCCCTTTTGAAATACTGACCTGCTCGTTATATTGCTACTGCAGTTTTGTAAATGAAAGTCTAAACTTCCTCTAGTAGAATAATTAGTAGAAGATGATTTTTTAACTTGAATATGAAAACGAAAACCAAGTAGGCTATGAAATTTTTGATATTTAACCATTGTAGTTCTTTCAGCATAAAATTTATTCAAGTATATTTATTTTTATTTAAGATGATTCTCATAGCTTTATTTTGTAATATTTGTAATTTTGAAAATACAGTTTCATTTGCAGTGAACAAAATAGTCGAACAATATAACAAATGAGGGAGAATGATAGTGTTGTACACAATTCTTTTAGCATGCGAAACTCTATAAAAGTAATTTATTTTCTTGAATATTTTTAAAATAATATATTCATAGTGCCCTTCAAATTTTAATTTACTGTCTACGTAGATTTATCGTATTTTGATCTAAAGATTTTCCGATTAGCATATATTTTGTTTTGTTTGTGTTTAGTTTAAGTTTATTTACATTTAACCAATTTATTACGTTTTTCATATCATTATTTAACAGTTCTATTGCAGTTTCAATATCTTTATTTGATATATATATATAACTTGAGACGTGGTCATTGTCGTCTAGACCAGTTAGGTGAAGCCACTTCAAGTGGCTTCACGATGTAATGCTTTCATGTTCTAAAAAAAATTTTTATTATCTTCTTCTTGACGACATAATATATTTTGTAATGTACTGTGTAATATGGATATTATGGACATGGTCTCATTAATGCTAAATAAATCTGGAACAAACAAACAAATTTAGCCTCGACTTTTCTTCCATAACCGCATTTGATGGGTGCCCCTTGACATGAATTCTATAAATACCTATTACAAATGCACATCTGAAATTTATCCTAAGGCTTTCATGTTGATATAATTTCATGTTTTTCTGACCAAATGAAGCCATATACGAAATAACTCTTTACTAACGTTTCGGTCGTCACTAAAGAAATATATGATTATTTTTTCCAAACCGTTTGGTAAGCTGTACATTTTTTACTTCCAGGGTTTTTATGGTTTATTATTGGATCCCAATCTGTTGTGTCTTAAGCTCTTTTCTCATATTATGACAAGAAATATGGTGCCCTTGAGGTGTCGTAGTACGATTTGCGGAAAAATCTGTTTTTAACTTGTTCTTGTCACACATTTGTGTGTATTTTATATAATTTTGACCATTGTACCATCTATCCAGCTTTCACCATGTTACTGGGTGTTTCCCTCATCCTGAACGTTAACAACAATTAGCAACATCCTCACATACCACTCTCCTGATGATGATGGCAAAGTCCATTGAAAGCTAGAGAGAATAAAAAAAGTATAAAGAGTCCTCTTTGCTTAAATTTTGTCGAAGTACCCAACAAAAGGCGGAAGCTTTAATTTTTCACCTATATATATATATATATATATATATATATATATAATGTATCATCAGCAAATAGTTGAATTTTGCGGTGTTGTAAAATATCAGGAATATCGTTAATATATAAAATAAATAGTAATGGACCTAATTTGCTACCCTGTGGCACACCTACCGAAATGTTTTTAATGTTTGATAATGCATTGCCAATTTTAGTCCTTTGACTTCTATTGATTAAATAATTTTGTAATAAGTTGAATACTGAACCTTGAAATCCATAGCAATGCAATTTCGTTAACAATTTCTCCCTGTCAATAGTCTCAAATGCTCCCTTGAAATCTAAGAACAATGTTACTGTAAACTTTTTTCATCCATATTTCGCCTCCACTCTTCTACTACCATTTGAATTGCTGTTTTAGTAGAATACTTTCTTCTAAATCCTGCTTGAAATTTTGTCAATATCTTATTTTCTTCAATATAATGAGTGACTTGTTCATATATGATTCCTTCTAAGAGCTTCTCGACATCTGGCAGTACATTAATTGGCCGCATGTTGGTATATAACTCAGAATTTTGCACTTTTGGAACAGAAGTAATTGTAGAACATTTTAATTTTGAAGGCAACTCGCCATACACTAAACAGTGATTCACTAACAATAATAACTTCTCTCCAATAATGTTGAAACATTCCTTCATAACCATTTTTGAAAGGTATTGACTAGGATTTCTATTCGATTTCAATCTTGTAATAGATTTTGAAAGATACCTGATATTTATTGTTTGGAATTTTCTTATAGAAGAATTACAAGTAACTTGCATGTGACATAGATTTGGATCCTCATCTTCGATTGATTCCATATCTCATTTATACTTTATATAAAATAAGCGTTCATACGTTCTGCAATCAATATTTTTTGTGTTACTATACCATCTTCGAAGCACATTCTTGATAATTCATTCTTCCTACTGGGAGATACAATATTTTTTAGTGTCTTGACATCATTTTACTGTTATTTTTATTGCTATCGATTTTGTTTTCATAATATTTTTTTCTTTTCGTTCCTCAGATTTGTTAAACACTTGTTTCTTGATTTCTTATATTGTATTCAATCTTCCTCAGTTTGAGTGATCATAAACTTTTTATAGTCATTATCACGCGTCTATTTAGAAATGTTTGTGAAAACCAGAGTGTTGGCTTTTTCCTTTGATATACCACTTTCCTAATTTGTGCGTCTCTCATGCAGTTCTCCATACAATCCATAATTTTTGAAGTGTCAGTATCATTAAAAATTTCGGTGATATTGGCTTGTAGGAGTTACTCTCGTAACGTTGCAAAGTCAGTAATTGTGGTTTCTCTTGATTCTCTCTCATTAAACATATTTTCCACCTCGAAATATATCCACGAATGGTCGCTTATTTTTGGAGTATGTAAAACCTTAATACTCAAATTCTGTTCATTGGTTATTATTAAATCGGTCTTAGTTCGTGAAAAGTTTTTAATCCTTGTGTAGTCATTAACTTTTTGCCATAGACCATGAAAGTTCCGTACTTGTTTAATTTTTTTTACATAAAAATCTTGATTATCAAAATTTATATTGAAGTCTCCCAAGTGCACAGTGGAGCAACTTCGATAATACTGTTTTTCTCAAACACTAAAAAAAGTCCAAAAATCGGGTAATATTACAGCTTGGAGATCTGTAGTAAACGTGTTTGCTTTCTATGTCTGTAATCATAACTAACCGTATACATATTTGTTTCATGCTTTTCAGCAATCCTCCATAGTAAAGTATTGAAAATGTTTTTGAATTTTTTACTCCACCTCTGGGTGATATTTTGTGGATATTGTATTAGCTGGTAATAATGTAGTTTTACTTTCCGGTTGGCAAGGAAAGTTTTGTAATCACGAAAAAAAAAAGAGTTTGGCATTTATTTTCGTCTGTCTAATTCTTTGTAACTTGCCGTTTTGGAACTAGGTAATATCTGTGTAGTTTCCAAATACTAGTGTAGTGGTGGGAAAATTTTCAAATAAAGTAAAGATTGCTCTGATGCTCTTTTGACATTTTTTGAACCTTCTTAGACATTTTGAGGGAGATGTAAGACGTCTTTGTTTGACCGTGGGAGGGAGGGGGGTGGGTTAGGATGTTGAATTTCATTTAGTTTTTGGTTCGTCAAAAGTCATACGCTTGCAAATGCAAAACTTTGATGAATCTTTTTTTCAGAAGTTATATCGCAGGCTTCATGTACTATATTTTCGATGCACTTCTACTGTTTAGAGTAATTTTATGATTGTGCAGAGTACGATAGTTTACTTTTTTTAATTGTTACAACATAACGCATAATAATAAAACAGTATTAGATATTAGGATGATTAAACCGACCAACTTATGCGATTTTATACTTTTCCACATATGGTAAACAGAAAATATTCCAAAATTCATTTTTAATCAATAAATAATAACGATTATTCATAAAAGTTAGGGCAACATTTTATGTTTTCATAATAAGTAAGCAAATCTCTCGTACCAGCAAACAATCTTTTTAGGTGTCAAGCAATGTTTGCTGTAGGTATACTTGATGACTAGTCAAAATAAACATAACCGGTTAAGTGCAAGTTTGCTTGCAGAGGTTAACGAGTCTATTCGAGTATGAAGTGGTATACTTGTTTAATGAAGACGAATACATCCTCAGTTATTGTTAGGCTTTCCTCTCGCCTCGAAGAAAAACTGGGAATATACACTCACAGACAAAGAAAATAGAACTCCCTGTTACAAACCTAAAAGTACGCGGTTTGTACAAGTTGGTTAATATACCAATAATAAAATAGACGCGGACTTAGATTCCATGTTTTAGCATTCGGACGTGGCACTTCATGCCTTCCATACCTCTGCCAGACCCTATTACCCTTGTATTCATCCATTTTATGAATACAAATGATTAAGGCCCATATCGTCAGTCGTCCCTACAATTGTAGGTCGCGTTTATGGCCTCCTTGATTTCGATAATATTACGTCTTCTTCGGTAAGGTACATGTATGTCCTGCTTTACATTTCTAGTCTGCTGTCAATCAGAAGTCAATTGTGATGTTAGGTTATGTTTCTTTTTTTACGAAATTTTTGACAGATGAATCAAATGCCGAAGGATATTTTCTTGTGCCTTTAGCCTTTGTGCCTGACACTCTACACAATCTAGAGTCGCACAATGATTTGTGAAAAAGCATCTCAGAAATCGACAATGCAAGAATTGCACTTGCCACACAATGTTTCTTATCCATGGAGGAACCATCTCATAAAGTCTGTGAGAATGAATTACACCTGAAAATAATGCGATAAGTATATAATATGGATATGCAATGATTTGTTTTGTAACTTACCAACCTTCATCAAGAGAACAGCTTGGTTGTAAGCTTCTGGACTTTCATACACAGAAATATAACATTATAATATATCCATGTGCATTAATTTTCCTAACTCAACAATTTCTTGAAGATACCACAGGTTGAGGAATTTGTTGAATGTAGCGAGGCATTTTTGAGTGATCGACATTATTTGCAAGAAAATTATAAATAATGGTTCTGCTTTCCATTGAACGTCAAAACAACAACATAACCTCAAGCCAGAACTGTCAGTATGTCGGAAATGTAAAGCAGGACATACATGTACGTTAACGAAGAAGATGTAATGTTATCGAAATCAAGGAGGCCATAAACGCTCCCTACAATTTATTGTAGGGACGACTGGCGATACGGGCCTAATCTATAGATAGAGATTGCACTAGTAAAAAAGATCAATTGTACTTCGCAATAAACCATATGAAAAACTAACAAAGCATTTATGCCGAATAAAACCTGTTGATAATTATTTACCTGAACTGATGATGATAACCTGTCTTCTGGAATAGGCGCCTTATCAGTAGCAATAACAAGCAAGTTGTACAAACTTTGATTTTCTCTGTCCAGATGCCTCTTTGTGAATATTGTTCCGTTTTTCGTAATTTCGAAGTCGCCGTTTTCATTGCCTGATGATATGGAATATTCAATCTTTCCATTTTCTCCTGTAACAAAATTTAAAGTAAGTATGGATGTTCCAAAAGATTTTTTGAACAACGTAGTTGAGGCAGCAGGTCCTTAGACTACAATAACTCAGGCCAGGTATTGATCGTGGGGAGGGCTTAAAAGATTATAGAGATGTAGTTATATAGTCTACTTAAAAATAAATAAATATATCTCCTTTTCCATAGTATTCGTAACTACAAAGAACCAGCTGATCAATAAGTATTTCTCTGAATCAAATGAAAACATTGCTTCCGCCATGATGGCCTCCCATATTAGCGTTACCTCCAATGGAACAAATCGTGGAGTAAATTGTATTTAGTCGGTATATTAGAGCGCATCAAAGAATAAACTAGTCATTATTCACTCCCATTGCTTTGAAAGTGTAACTGTGTTGTCAGTTTTAGCCCTGTAATCAGTTGTTCTATTGACTACATCGACCTAATCGATGTTCGGGATCGAACAAGGCTACGGCCATTTACCGTTCGGAACCGCGAGCTTGTTATGCGAACTCAAAACAAAGCGTCCACATGGTTTGTGAGATGCTACAAGTAATTGGATGACTGCTAAGTAATATACGTACGTATTCAATTCAAGTCATAATTCATTTTTTAACTTTATCGATAAGTCAAGTCATCGTTGGTTGTCAGAGCGGTCCGTGGGACCTTAGCTCTTGAGTCACAGTGTCAGTTTGTAAGTCTGTCAGTTCTGGCAACCCAGAAACCAGACAATTTAAAGGAAAAAAGGGAAGGAGAGGAGAGAAAGAAGAACGAGAGAAAAGGGGAAGAATAAAATCTTTTAGGATAGGCAGCGTTTAGGCATTGTTAAAATCACTTCACAGCTTTTGATATGGTCTGATTTTTTCTAAAGATTTTGTCAAAATGCTCCAATTTTGGTTCTTCTAAGTTCAAGAATTATTGTTGATTACAGTGCGAGCCGCGGCTCTTTGTGCTTGCGAACTTGCTCGACTGTGCAGTCCACTGACTCGCGCAACAGAGGGTTGCTGTGCGATTCCGCTAGGCTATAGCGTCGCTGCGCCTGTTGCGTAATGTAGTCCTTTAGGGAAGGGACATCGAGGACTCTATGAAGAGTTTCGTTAAAGGCATACCATGAGGCGTCAGCAATAATGCGTAACGTCCTGCTTTGCAGAACCTCCAGATTTCGCCTGTGTGTTTTGGCAATAAAACACCAAGCCGCACATGTGTAAGAGATTGCTGGTCTTATGACCACCTTATAGAGTCGAATCTTGTTAAACAAACTTAATTTTGAACGTTCACATAATAATGGGTAAACGTAATTTGGAATTTAGTTTTTAGCGCTTCTATATGATTCCGTCAAGTCACCTCTTTATCTAGAATGACACCGAGATACTTAGCGGAAGATTCCCACGAAGTCCATTCATTGAAACTTCAGATGGAACGCCGCGACGACTTTTTGTACAGTAGATTGCCTGCGTCTTCGAATGGTTAATTTTAATTAGCCACCAATCCGCTCAATCTAATACTTCCCCCACTGCACTTTACAGCCTGTCATGGACTAGGTCACCAGACCTCGACGGAGCCACCAATGCAGTATCGTCAGCATAGAGATAGACTTCACAGTTGCTGGGGCCAGGGACGTCATGGATGTACAGTGAGTAAAGGACCGAACCCTGAGGAACGCCGGCTGTAATCAGCCGTATTGTCGACAGGACATTGTCACTTTTGATACGAAATTTCCTACCTTCAAGGAAGGATTTCAGGAGTTTTAGAAGCCAAAAAGGGAAGCCTTTTGGATTAGTTTATACAGGAGTGCCACATCTTGTCAAATGCTTTTGAGACATCTAAAAGCAAGATGCCAGTACTTTCGTTAAGGGTGTATCCTCTGGTTACTCGTTCCACCAGCCTTACCGCCTGTAGCTCCGTACTATGTTCAGACCAAAAACCGAATTGTACGTCAGGAATCACATGGTGATCTGATGAGAAATTCTCATGGTGACGTAGAATCACCTTTTCAGCGAGCTCAGACGGAGCTGATAGCAGGCTAATGGGACGATAATCCTGGGGAAATATCGAACCCACCTTCTTTGGAATCATTATAACTTAAGCGGTCTTCCACGCGGATGGGAAGTACTGGGTCCTTATTATGGCATTGACTATTACGAGATAAGCTAAGGACTTCCGCGAAAGCAGCTTCAGTGCCTTATTAGTGATCTGATCCTCCCCAGGTGCTTTGCGCACTTTAAGGTCGTTAATATGACCTTGAATCTCTGCTGATGTGCAATGCGGGATCTCGGGAGATTCCACTGATGTGCTAAGCAGATATTCGGTTGAAGAAGCTTCTGAAAAAGAATCTTCTGATGAAAAATCACCAACGGTAGCGCGACTGTCACTGACGCCGTTGCCCCTGACAGATCTTACGATGTGTTGCTCCTCGTCGAGGTCATTATCAAGATCATAGCTGGGAGAGAACTGTCTTTCCATGGCATCAGCCAGAGAGGAATGCTTGAGTCAAGCATCCCCGCCAGGAAGTCGTTCCATTGCTCATTGCAGAATTCATGAAGAGCATTTCTTACTTCATGAACCAGATTCGTCGTTCTGCGAATGTCATCAGGATGACAAGATCTTTCCGCTTGCTTAATTGCAGCCCTTTTATCAGAAATTTTCTAATGAATGTCTGCTGGCAGAAAAGCTCTGCCGTGTCGCTGCACGGGAAGTACAGCTGCACGCTGCAGAGCTTACTGAACAAAACTTGTCCACTCCGCTTGAGCCGCATCTATACCGTTCTCATCATCTATGATCGAAATATTGGGGAACTCTCGGAGGAGCGACCTGAAGTGGGCCCGAGCAGTCTGAAAGGACTTTCAAATCCGCCTCTTGCAGCGTGATACCACACCTGACATACACCGATGGGATTTTTAACGGCACACCTCCCGTCATGTTGACCACCACGGAAACCGCTTCGATTCTCTGCATCTCAGCGTTTGTGCTTCTGTGGTAGTCAATACCGCGATTCACTAGCACTGCCAAGCCACCACCCCGTCCAGTCAATCTATCAGCTCGGATAACATCGTAATTCAGGAAAGCTAGACGATTAAGTAATGTTTCCTGCAGCAAGGCCACATCTATACTTTCGTCCACAAGAGCTTGATGAAATTCCCGTTTTTTGGTAATGTCCCTTAGACCCAAACAATTCAAAAAAGAATTTTGATAAATACAGGCTGTCGTCTATTGTACCTAGCCATTTGCAGGAAAGATAGCCTGCAAAGCCTGTGTTGCGCAAATCAGAGAACTTATGATCTGCTGTAAGGACCTTAGCGCAGTTGCCAGGTCCACATTTTGCGTGCTCCCACAGAGGGGGCAGCCCGGATTGCAAGAAACTTTCAAAAGATTTAAGAATATTGTCCACACGGCAAGCTGAGGAGGGGCAAAATATTGAACGGAGTTTATTGTAATACAAGACACGCCCACCATAATATTTTTCAAGTCTAGCGACCACGATACTAGTTATGACAGTATTGAGTTAAGAAGGCTGATGAGAAATAGTAATAATATAAATGATATTAAACTAGAACTTAAAAATAACAAAAAAGAAGTACTCCGACTTAATTTCGTTATGTAAAATCCGAAAAACGCCAGTTAGTTGTACGCTTACCAGAATTCCAAAACTTTTACAAGATTTGGCCCATGAAACGGACTGAATTATTGATAATTTTGCCTTTTTTTGTGTATCACAACACATCAACATTTGCTGGTAATATGTCAAAATATAATATTTAAGTCAGTTGCTTTTCTTTTAGTTTTTATTTCAATAAAAATTGGTTTGACGTTTCGAGTTGCTTTCTTCATCTAATCACGTAATATTTTTGTCATAATCTACATCAATTTTAGGCATGGACATTGAGGAAAATATTTTAGGGGGTAGCCAAACTTCAAAAGTCGATCTGAACTTTTTTACATAAACTTTGATGTCAGCAGACCAACGATTACTTAAAAAATTTAACAATCAAATTTTCTGAGATAATCGCCCCTTTGGCTGGAACTATGATTCTTTGCTTATAAGTAAATGAAACAAATTCTGTATATCTTAAAAAATTATAATAACAAGAACTTCAATAAAAATATATTTTAGCTCTGCCTGACAAAAAACTTCTGAAAATTCTCACGAAGTGACCTAAGACCTACGTGCGTTTTCCATTTTTTTCCAAAATAGCTTGATAAGCTACCGCAAATATTGAAACGGCATATGATTCACAATGAATATAGGCTAATACACGTGAATTTTCAATTCGGAAATATCTAAACTTTACATACAATGCTCAATCGACAACACGCTGATTTCGTTTTCTTGCTCTTCTGTAAAATTCACTAACCGTTCGTTAGGACACTTCGTGAGAAAGCCGACGATATGTTGTCCTTTCTGAATTACGGGAAATCACCACCACGTCCGCGTTGTGAGTAATTACTGTTAGCATGTATATGACTTGTAATTAGACGGTGTACAGTGAACATAATTATTTTTTATCTCTCTCATTTTTGAAATTCAGCAAACTTGCATATGTAATTTCCAGAATGAATAAGAAAAACTGGATGCGCAACTAATTTATAGCATTGAATCTCAAATACGTGTATTTAAGACAAGAATCCAATTGAATTATCATTAACACATATTATTAGCACAAAAATCCTCACTATACATCTATGCACAGTGGCGTAGCCTGGGTCATTGCCGCCCGGGGCGGAATCATAATTTGCCGCCCCTTTGACGTCAAAAAATAATCATGTTGGTGAAGGTGAAAAAAAAAATAACGTGAATAATAGTGAAATACTTGGCTTCCTTCACTTCAGCAAGTATCTTTTTTCGAACATAATTTCCTAAACAATGAATGAATTCATTTTGAATCTCAGGTGATAGGTAAGATACACTAGCTTTCTTCTGCAGTTTCAGCTTTGTAAGGTGTTCACAAAGAACCGGGTCGTACTTGCCAAGAAGATGAACGAGTCCTAGAAAGTTGCCTCTATTTTCAGCGTCATTTTCTTTCATGATTTCTCTATGACCTCGCAAGGCCAGATTTTGTTTAGCAAGAAATCTGATAATATCCAGTATCCTGACCAGTACTAGTCTCAGCTTCTGCTCTTCTTTAACAATCATATTTTGTTCTTGCTTGTCGATCGTTGCACCAACTTGAAGTCTTACCTCCAAAGATTTCCATTTATTGAAGTTGTCATTATGTGCTGAACTAGATTCATGTTCTAAAACTTTGGGATTTAGTTTCCACCACTTTTTGAAACCATTAATGCTGTTGAATCCAGCTTTATCGACGACCCCAAACAAACGGCAGCAGAAACAGAACAATGATTCCTTAACTAAGGAATAGGCCATCCATGTTCTCAGAATCTTTTCGCCATTTGGTAGAGTTCGGAAAAACCAATCACGGCTTAATTTTCTTGCCACTCCTTTGAGCCCCTTGGTAGATTCTACAGGCCCTGGCCTAATCACTTCAGCAAACTTACAGTCAAGGTTCTGTACTGCTTTGTAGCCTCAAGTCACAAGTAATGTTCGAAGATTATCGGTAATGGAAATAGGCCAAGTTCCAATATCTTTGTAATCGCTGATAGATCCATCCTGAATGTCAAGAGTATCGATCACTTCATAGCTTTCGTCTTCCACCAACAGTTTCAATTGTTCACCTACTACCGCTGGTTCATTAGGCAAATCTTCAAATTCGGTAAGTCCGCCACTAGAAGACGAAACAGCTTTTTGATTTGGAGTGGCACTAGTACTAGCTTCTCTATCAACTTCAGATTCAGCTGATTCGGTAGTCGAGTCAAAATACTTGAGTAAAGATCCCTTATTTTTCTTATTTTCTTCCTCTCGGGCTTTTTTTTGCTTCCTGTAAAAATCACCGCTAGGCTTATGCCTCTTCATGATCTGAAAGTAACATTGATTTAGCTCGTAAGTTTTTAGGCCAATATAGGGGCAGCAAAATTTGAACCTATAGGCAGGTAAGTAATGGCACGGGAAGGGGTATTAACTAATCAGTTATAAAATTATTATTTTTTTAACTATCAATATTTCGTGCTAAAACAGGTAATCTATTTATATTATTTTACATGAACTCGATCACTAAAATTTAAATACGTAATGCAACGAAACATTGGCTTTCGAAAAAGCGCGCATAATCTCCCAATCTCCTGCGTTCACATATAATGTGTTATATTTTCCGTGAGATCTACGATAAAAAGCATACTAAAACTTACTTACTGTTAAAACGGCAGCTTAGCGGGATACAAAACCGCGAAATACTGTTACGAATTCCCCAAAAATTCACTGGCACTGTCAATTCGACACTCAAGTCGCTTTGTTTTTTGTTAATTGAACAAAATGAAGTCAAGGGAAGGGCGCGCGGCGACGCGACGCGTGGGTGCTCCTAGAATACGTGTGGGACAGAGACAGGCAATATGCGCGCGCAAGACGGGGCGAATAAGTTACTGGTATTGGGAGGAAGGTACCAGGGTTGCCAGATGTGGTGATTTTTCACCAGATCTGGTAGTTTTTCATATGCTCGACAAAATATTTTTTCCTCATGTAGCACGGATCGGCGGCGGTTCCCTCTCAAACGGAGTCTACAGCAGGCTCGTACCACGTGAAGGGTACAAAAAGGGTCAATTTTGCCGCCCTACTATTGGTGGCGCCCGGGGCGGTCCGCCCCCCCGCCCCCCTCCTCGCTACGCCACTGTCTATGCATTGCCGTTACCTCCAGTAATTCCATCTCTGAAGCAGATTTTACATCACATCAGAGCCAAACATTGATAATTTAAGCCCCGTGACGTTTAGGCAACACGTACAATTACAAAACGAGTTCACAACGTGTCCATCAGCTAGTGTTACGTTAACATCTTGTTAACATAATGTCACAAAAAATCAATACGATGTCAACAAAAATCGACATAATGTCACTTTTCAAGAGTGGGAAGCTCTGAACAGCCAAATTATCTTTTTTTCATCAGCTGCAGTGATTAGAGAATCAAAAAACTTGGCCCAAAGTCTTTTTTTTTGCTTCTGATTGCAGATTTTGTTCAGGGGAGGAATAATTAATCTTTTGATAATACTACCTCCACCTAGATGGTTCTCATTATGGAATTATATAGGTACAAATGTTTCACATCAAACGTAAAAATGACATGAACTCGCGTCAAAAGAGTGTATAATGGAATAGTCGCATACTTTAAAATGGATTGCAGGGTCGAAGGTAGGTATAATACGGGGTTGCTAGATGGATCAAGCGGAACTCCCTCAGAACAAGCACAAAATCCTCCCAGATTTGCAACCTTTTTAAGATAATCCCTCAAATAACTCATATTTCAGTGCTGTATGAAGTGAACGACAGCTAGTTCTTGTAGGAAAACCTATATAATGTCATAGAAAACATACATAATGTCAAAAAAACAACATAATGTCACTTTGCAAGTTACGTAATACCCCTGCCGTGGATCTACAAGACGAGCAAATCCGTGCAAAATCGCAGAAAAGACGAGTAATCGTCTAGTCCTTTCTCTCGAAAAAGAAATGAGATAGAGATAGCTAAATCAATCGGTCAGTTCACAACTTATTATTTTGTTTTTCTGTGTTCTATGACTTTGGATGCTTGTCTACCAACCCAGAATTGACAAGAACGTCTAGATATGGGTCAGTTTAGATGCTTTGTGGAGATGCATGTGGCAAGAGAAAAGAAAAAGCTACAGAAAATTAAAATTATTTAGTATCTGTCAGTTTTTTGTAGTTCAAGATGGAATAAAATGTCCCAAAAATACCCAACGATTTTATTTTTCCCACAAAAATCTCCCGGAACGTTTCATCCACCAAAAATTCTCCAAGGGACGTAAAAATCTCCCATATTTGGGGGAAAATCCCCCAATATGATAACTCTGGTATAAAATAATGATATGGCATTGTATTACTTGCCAATCGACACATGACATGATACGACGACAATGTGTAATTGATCAATTTTTTTAATTCATAGTGAATTAGCGGATTCAAAAAGAGTATAGAAGAAATGTGCATTAGAGTCTACCATATTTCGAATAGTAGAATATTTATCAGCGACCCATTTGAGAAATATGTCAATTTTGGCAACTGACAGCAACTTCCTTCATCTTGAATTCGAAAAAATCGATACTATTCGTCATTATTCGTCAGAGCGGTCTGGTGGACTTTTGCTCTTAGTTAAAAGTCTCGTCGGTCTGTTAGTCTGTCAGGTCTGGCTACCCAGATACCAAACATCTTTGAGGGGATAAGAGAAAGAAGGAAAGAAAGGAAGGAAGAAATAGAGCAAAGAAAAGAAGTAAATCATTTGAAATAGCTTAAGTACTATTGCTTGGTCTACTACGAATTATTTTGTAATTCCAAAAAATAGTTTTGATCGGTTTTGTATACTGAAGTAATTTTGGATAGTCTGAATTTATAATTTAATTTTGATCACAGTGCGAGGAATGTTTGCGAACTTGGTCGACTGTATAGTGAAAAAATCGTTATCATTGACGTCAAAAACATGAAGATAGATATCTAGTTTTAAGCGACTTCCAATGATTTTTTTTGCAAACATATGCAACATATATTGGATTCATGTTGATGTTTGGCATATGGCTTTCTTATCCGTTATCATCGAAAACATGAATAAAGTTTTTTTCTGAAGTATAGCGAATCTTTATCTTTCTACATAGTTTTGGCCATGAGGCGTTATAAAAGCGTTCTCGCTGCTAAAAAAAGCTCCGAAATCAAATCAGCTTTTCAAAAATTTTCTCAGCAGTGAGTAAGCTTTCACTCTTTGATGAGAAGTCTTGATTGATTTGTCACACAAAGGATGAAAGTATCAAAGAATGTCTATGTGAGTTGATACGGAAGTTAGATTTGTAAAAGGTAGCCTTTTTTCATCTTGTTTTACTGTCTTCGCCTTTTTAATTGAATAACGTATGAAAATGATTATTGTCGTGAAAATGCCCAAATACTAGATATCTATATGAGGATAGATGGAAGGATAAATAACTTATTTGCCAGAATATAGGGTGTTTCAGTTTATTTTTGCATAACTTTTAAAATTAATGCATAAAGTCTATATAAACATGGGTCGAAAAATGCGTGGCTTCCGAAATACAGGGTGCTTAAATTTACTTTCTAAAATAGTTTTTTTTAAGTATTTCGAACAATATTTGATGTATAACAGTGAAAATTGGCACAAGGGTTTTTTGGACGGCAAAACGAACCATGGGCATAGTTTTACTGTAGCCGCTAGAGGGCGCTCTCTACTGTACCTGTAGTGTATTGAAATGACCGAAAATTTTTTCTTAGTGCAATTTTTTGCTTTTTGAATAAAAAAACTGTTTCTTCGCACTTTTTAACATAAAAAAGCTCTCTTGTAAATTTTCGTTATAGTTAGCCGTTTTTGAGATATTTCGATTTTTAAGGTTCGATGCATTTTTAATTATTTATGATAAAATAACGTTAAAAAGTCAGTATCTCGATAATTTTTAGAAGTAGGCTGTGCCTGCAAATATTTTTGAAACTGAAAGCAGAATAAGGTTAAACGTCAATTAGTTGACAGTTAGTTTTGTTGCCTGTTGAAACCTGAAACGTTTTTTTGCAATTGTGAATGCACGAAATTTAGTTTCTTTTACCTGTTTTTTTTTGTAAGTTTTATAAAAATGCCATTTTTATTCTCCAATCAAGAGTTAGCGGTTATTCATTTTGTGTATGGCTTTGTAAATGGAAACGCAGCACAAGCAGCCAGAGAATACGCACGAAGATTTCCAAACAGACGACACCCAACTCGCTCAGTATTTGTAAGAATGCGTCGCCAAATAATTGAAAATGGTTTTGGAAATCTCCAAAGGGATCAAAACATAAATGTTCATCAGCGCAGATTTACCCGTATGATTCTGCATGAGTTTGATTGAAATCCGACCACAAGTGTTAGGAGAGTTTCTGATGCCTTGAGAATTTCAGCAAGCCATGTTCACCGTGTTCTTAGAAATGACCATAGACGTCCTTACCATTTGCAACCTGTGCAAGGACTACAGCCAGGGGACGGAGAACGAAGGATCACATTTTATCAGTGGATTCTTGATAGAACTGATAATAATAGGGAGTTTTTAAGTAACGTTTTATGGACCGATGAGTCATGCTTCACTAGACGTGGAGTGGTAAATTTTCATAATCAACATATTTGGTCGCATGAAAATCCGCATGCAGTTCGGGAAAGAAATTTTCAGCATGAATTTAGTGTGAACGTGTGGATTGGTATCTAACGTAATCTACTATTTGGATCCTACCTTTTGCCTGCAAAGTTAAATGCTGCGACCTTATTGGAATTTTTAAAGGCTGAACATGCAAATATGTGGGATGATTTCAGAAGATTGGCCTGGTTCCAGCTTGATGGTTGTCCAGCTTATTATTCGAGAATAGCTAGAAACTGGCTGGACGAAAATTATCCAGAAAGATGGATCGGCCGTGGAGGACCAGTCGTCTGGCCTCCACGATCCCCTGACCTAAATCCATTAGATTTCTTTGTGTGGGGATTTCTAAAAGAAAAAGTGTACCAGACTCCCGTAACCACAAGAGATATGCTAATAGACAGAATCAGGAATGCATGTGATGAAATAAGGCCTGTTTGAATAATGCTATACCACGTTCGATCATTCGTAGATGTGAATTGTGTATTGAACAATTGGGTTTGCATTTCGAGCAACTACTTTAGATTTTGTATGTTGGTCCTAACTATCCAATAGCATTTTAGTTGTAAATAATTAATTTAATTTGTTAAAAATAATATTGGAAAATTAAACAAATTAATATTCTGTTTTTTTGTGTTTATTTGGAGTTAGGAATTATTGCTGTGTTTAAAAATACAATCTGAACGATCATCTTAATTA